GAGAAACAAGACCCTTTTAGGGTGTAGATGCTGTGAACCCCTCCATCTTAGGCCAAGGTTGTGTATATGTGCAAATAACCATCTATCAGTCTGTGCTGTGCCTCATTCCAAAAAGGAAACCCAGGACCCCCTGGAATCACACACTGCTCAGAGACACGGGTGGGGGACAACAATTGCTGGTGTGTTTTAGGTTGCTTTAGTCTTGTCTTTACACTTGTTTTTGTTGTAATGTGCTTTATAAGTTGCTTTCAGTTCTCCTGAGAAAAGCAACTAATCAGTATAAATGTTAATAAAAATAATACTGTTTGAATATGAGCATTTTTAATTAATCTTAATTGAATATATTTAGTGATTAAAACAAACACATACATACGCTTTCTGTATGTGACATAAGGGAATAATTTTGGAAGAGACAAAAGAGATTTTAATGGGGATGTATTCATGGAGTATGGAGAAACTAATATTAATAGGTGATAAAAATTCACCATTTGATACATTAGAGATAAAATTGGGATGGGGGGGCAGTGTATTTTACATGCATTAGTTGCAGTTCTTTAAAATACTTGTGCCGCAACTATTGCACCATCACCAGTGCAGGGCAAAGGCCCCCCTTTCAAGAGATGTTTTATTTCTAAGATCCATACTTATGTCCATAGTTCCATTTGTTTTGTAGTATAGAATCAGAATTAGAGAAATGTAGAGTTGTAAGCTACCCCAAGAGAGATCTAGTCCAACCTCTTGCAATGCAAGAATCTCGACAACTGACTTGAAACCATACTGGATCCGGCATTGCTTTGCAAATGTGCTAGCAATTTTATTGCTGCACTGCTAGGAGGTGACAGTAGCCTCTGAAGGCCATTTCAGACCTTACACAGCAATTTCCCCAGGTCTGAATGTACTCAAGAGGAACCCACAGCCAACCTGAGCTCTTGGGATGATTGCACCTGTATGACACACATATTTCACTCACTTTGAAAGTGCATCTCTAGCACTGTTGCAAATGGTTATAGCTTTCCCCCCCTTTCAGGTGAATCTTCTATGCCAGGGGTTGGCCAAGTTTTTGTAGCTTGGGCCAGTTCACGGTCCCACAGATGCTGTGGTGGGCCAGTGTGTGTGTGCACACGCACACATGTGCAAACACTATTTCCGGCACGCCTTCCAGCGCGGAGGAGGCGTGCACAGCTTCCCATTGGCTGCAGGAGCTTCCTGCAGCCAATGGGAAACCGGCCAGCATTGCGGAAGGCGGTCCCCGCTCTGCTCTGCGCTGGTTTAGGGGTCCCCGAGAGGACGGCAGGGGTCCATGGGCCAGTTAAACGACCCCCATGGGCCGCTTGTGGCCCATGGGCCTTAGGTTGCCGACCCCTGTTCTATGCTTTCCTCGAGATGGAATTCGCAATAAAAGCAGAACTCTTCGTTCTCGTGTGTTTTGATACTGTTACAAAAGTGAGACCCCATCGTCCTTTGGCCTCTTCTCTTGGCTGCAACTATGGACAGTCAGGATATGCAGCCCACATAGTCATTCTTTTGTTACATCCTACCTGAAGCACATTTCCGTTCTCTGGCACCAGAAGGTTTTATGATCACAGTTAGAATGTTTCATATTAGATCCGACTTAATCAGACTTCACTTCCCAAGCCTCCGTCGCATATTGAGAAATCCCGCCTATGGTTAAAATTATTGAGCGGCTGTGTCTGGAACACCCCCTTCTGTTTTAGTCATTATCAACACAGCACTACAGTGGGGGAAAGAAGCCCAGGAAAATAAACAGAATTTGAAAAAAGGAAACAAAATATTATGGCATCACACGCCACGTTAATTGCTGGGCTCAGATGGGGGATGATTGATACTGTCATCCTTCGCTTTCCAGAAATGAAAGCTGGATGTATCATAATACTGAGCATATCAACCCCCCAGAGAAAGTCTCTAATATGGACAAAACATAATTACTGATTCTTGGTTCCTACAATCTCTCACCACCTCCCCTCTTTTTCTCTGCCAGTCATTTCTCTCCCTAGCTCACCCCATGCTCTTTGCTAAAGACAAAAAGGTATACTATGGTTCAAAGCTTAATTTAAAAAGCGCCTTCTGAACGTATGGTTTCCAAAAACAGTCCGGAGGCACAAACCTTACTAATGCAAAACTTGCGCCCCTTATTGGAACTCCTGCCTGCTCATTCTCGGTGTTTAAATAATGAATTTGCTCTTAGATTTTGGAATAGATCTTAAGAAATATCACTTTAAATGCCATGCCAAATTGGATTACACCTACAAATACAGCAAAAATGGCTTGGTTGAAGTAATTCGTTGTAAGTGAGCAGCTACTGCAATTTTCACACTCCTCCCAAAAGAGAGAGAGAGAGAGAGAGAGAGAGAGAGAGAGAGTGAGTGAGTGCTGGGGATTTCCTTTGCTTCTAGTTGATGCTAACTTTTTCATCAGACTGGAGACCCAGATTTTGGATTGTTCAGAACTAGTCTTTTAAGTGACTGTTTAAGCCTCATTATTTTGATCATTCAGCTAGTTTTTGTCCATAGGTATCAAAGGCTGAGGAAGGTTGAAGTAAAGATGCCAAATTTTATTTTCTGAGTTTTGGCAACAAAAATAATTTTATTCACCACTACCCAAGCTCACGAGTGGATTGCAAAAGGTGGAGCGTGTTCAATGGTTTATTTATTTATTTAATATATTAACCAAATTTATATTCTGGCGTTCGTTACATAGTAATCTCAGAGTGGATTCTAACATAATAAATAAAAGCAACATACAGGTAAATCAAACAATGCTGTACAAATAAGCTAAAATCCAACCTAAAACAACCTAAAGCAGCAGCACATCAGCAGACTAAGACTTTAGGCACCACTCAAAACCTAAATAATTTAAATGCCTTCGAAGACCCAATGGAAGAGGTGCATTTTTAACCAGGTGTTGGAGCCTTAATAATGTGGCAACCATCTGCACCTCCAGGAGGAGTGAGTTGTGCATCCAGGGCACCACTACCAAGAAGTCCCTGTTCCATGTCATTGCATAATGCACCAAGTAAAAGGACCCCTGGACGGTTAAGTCCAGTCAAAGGCAACTATGGGGTTGTGGTGCTCATCTTGCTTTCAAGCCGAGGGAGCTGGCATTTGTCCACGGACTGCTTTCCGGGTCATGTGGCCAGCATTACTAAACTGCACAATGGAACACCGTGACAGAAACTGTCACAGTACCTATTTACCTACTTGCACTGGTGTGCTTTCGAACTACTAGGTTGGCAGGAGCTGGGACAGAGCAACGGAAGCTCACCCCGTCGCGGGGATCCTTCTGATCGGCAAGTCAAAGAGGCTCAGTGGTTTATACCACAGCGCCACCCTTTGCACCAAGTAAGGACAGGACAATGAGCAGGCCAGTCTATGCAGGGAAACATGCTCCAACAGGTACCTGGATCAGTGTCATCCAGGGCTTTATAAGTTAAAACTAATGCCTTAAATTGTGCCAGGTCAGTGCAGGCCCTGCAGAATGGGTGCTACATAACTTCCCACTCTAGTGGCAGCCTTCTGCACTAGCTGCTGTTTCTGGACGGTCTTCAAAGGAAGCCCCATGCAGAGTGCGTTACAGTTATCAGCTGGTTCAGTCCAGTTGAGTGGAGGGGTACAATATGCCTTGCCATGCACTGGGTGCAGCAACCTGCTTCATGCAGCACTGCGAGGAAAGAAAAGCTAAGGTCAGGAATTGATGGATGGATGATTCAGCAGCAGCAGCAGCAGCAAGGCTTTGCTCTGGAGGGATGGGGACTTTTGAATGTTGCTTCAAGCAGCAAAATATCTTGGCTTGGGAGAAGAAGGAAATATAAGCAGTCCTTCACTGGATTGGAGTATTGGGAGTTTTCTGGACTGTGCTCTGTATTAGCAATTTTTTAATTTTTAATATTTTTTTTAATCTCACTAACCCTGAGATTTTCATGAATGGGATGCTCTGGATACTATCTCCCTTTTGTTGTCCTATTTGCATGCAGACACACACATATATGCAGAAGTAAAATTAAAAATATTGAAACAGATGGTGGAGGGAACATTGGAGAGGGGAGGAAAACTAGTCTCTCTCTCCCTCTGTCCAGCAGTTGGGGCTGGCGAAGTTGGCAACATCATGTATCTCTGAGGTAGCAGATCCAGGAACCTAAATGGAATGTCCTCTTTCCTTGTGACTGCACAGCTATTTATTTGGGGAATTTTGAAACTGGCTTGTTATCACAATCCTTTTCACCCATTTTTAATAATCCTTCCTGTCACGTGGTGTGATGCCCCTGAAACTTCTGGTTGAATCCGGTAACAACAGAAAAGAGGGTAGAAACTCCATCTTCAAAATTTCAACTTTTGGGGTTCAGTGGCAGGTGAAATTGCATCCTTGCTCACTTTCAGAGAGATGCAGAGAATGAGAGGTCTTAGTTTTAACAGGATCACTTTCTGGTAGCGAGAATGCACCAACTTTCAAAGACGTCTCTCCTAGGTACAGCATGTCAAAGAGCAGAGTTTAGCTAAGGGAGGCCAGAGGAGCAAAGGAGTCCTTTAAGAGATATTTGAAAGGGTTTTTCCCAACAGTGTCAGACCTCCTGTTTGTGACATGAAGCCACATGGTTGCCAAGAAGAGAGATCTGTTTCCCTGTTCTCCAAATAGCAATGGCTCTAATAGACCTTTTCAGGACATGACCTCTGAGCAGCTAGAAAGTGAGTGGGAAGGGGGAGTTTGGAGCAAGGCGAATGGAAGAAACCCACTTCCCATCCAGAGCGCTCCCTATCCTGTATCAGACAGACAGGCTTTTCCCTAGTTGTTGGCAATACATTTCAATGCATCACATTTCTAACATGCAGCATGTTTTTGCCTCCGTTCACCACATCATTCCACCCAACAAGCTTGTGAGAGATAGCCACAATTATCCCTGATTTATAACCGAATAAGCAAAAGAACCTCTTCCTGCCATATCACCAGAACTTATGTGGGGTGGAAAAGTCTAAGGATCAAGTAGATTGCTGGGATAGTTCAGTTTGTAGAGCATGAGACTCTTAATCTCAGGGTCATGGGTTTCAGCCCACATTGGGCAAAGAGCCCGGCATTGAGGAGGTTGGACTAGATGAGCCTTGTGGTCCCTTTCCAACTCCACAGATCTATGATTCTATGAGTTTATGATTCTACATGACTTGGCTGAGACAAAAGGAATCAGGCCACCTCTGACAGTTTTATATAGGCCAGCATTTGTCATGTGTTTACTGTAGTTCTGTTTCACTAGGTGAGCTATGGCTGGCTCTTGTAGGTCTTGCTGATCTCCCTGAAACATTGTCTTCTTATCAGAGCCAGGTGTGGAGTTTACTCTTGACATTTGCAAGGTCACAGTGACAGGACCTATTGTTGGTTTGAATTCTTTCTGACACTAATGGTATCACTTGGTGGAGTCCATGACCCTAAGATTAAGAGTCTCATGCTCTACTGACTGAGCTATCCCAGCAGCTAAGAACTGGTCAATTCAGGACATAGAATCATAGAATTGTAGAGTTGGAGGGGATCACAAGGGTCATCTAGTCTTATCCTTGCAATGCAGGAATCTTTTGCCCAGTGTGGGGCTCAAACTCATCCAACGAATACTTATGCCTGTGCATTTATGTTTGATCTGAATCTAGGGTTTCCTGTTCTGCTCTCCCTAGATGCACGACTTCACACATATCTTTAATTTTTACTGAAATTCAAATACCAGGTTGTTAGGTTTAAGTATCCATTGTAAGATTGGCACCTATTTTGAACAGGAGACTTGAATTTACAGATCTGATTTTGGAAACCTGACCTTGTGAATTTAGCATGGTGCATTGTGTTATCAAGTACTATGTCAGTGCTCTCACCCACTTAAGTTCTCAAATGCAACATACAGATCAGTATCAGTGCTTGTTGTAATAATTCTTCCTATAGAATAATAATATTTTTATTATTTGTACCCAACCCATCGGGGTACTGGGAAATTTCAAATGTCTGATTTGTTACAATTTTTCATATATGCTGTAAGCTGCCCAAAGTGGCTGGGGAAACACAGCCAGATGGGCAGGGTATAAATAATAATAAAATAATAATAATAATTGTTGTTGTTATCTGACTGGATTGCTCCAGCCACTCTGAGCAGCTTCCAACAAACATAACATATATAAAAAACATAATAAAACGTCAGACATTAAAAACTTCTGTAAACAGGGCTGCCTTCAGAGGTCTTCTAAAAGTCACAAAACTTTTTATTTCCTTGACATCTGATGGGAGGGTGTTCCACAGGACGGGTGCCACTACCAAGAAGGCCCTCTGCCTGGTTCCCTGTAGCTTCACTTCTTGCAGTGAGGGAACCTCCAGAAGACCCTCGGAGCTGGACCTCAGTGTCAAGGCTGAACAATGGGGGTGGAGACACTTCAGATATATAGGGCCAAGGCCATTTAGGACTTTAAAGGTCAGCACCAACATTTTGAATTGTGCAGGGAAACGTACTGGGAGCAAATGTATGTATTTCAGAACAGGTTTTATGGTCCCAGCAGCTGCTCCTAGTCACCAGTCTAACTGGGTTTGGCTATACAGCAAAAAACCCGTTTTGCAGCGTCATTTCAAAAACAACACAGATGTCTCCAAATGGGACTTGATTGTTGGGGAGATTCCCTTGATAGGTCTGGTAAACTGCAGCTGTGTGTGCTTTACAAAGCATTTGGCCTGTAATCATGTAAAGAGACTGAAGTGCTCCTTGCCGAAGGTAATTACGGGTTCTCAATGAAAATAGCAGCATTAAAGCCTGTTGGATAGTACTTGTCACACTAGAGAGAATAGGAAAGCATATGCAGGTCATGAGGTCTTTGCAGAAAGGCCCCATCCTGAGATAATGATACAGTTCTTGCTAGGAGATGAAGGCACTGGGAAGCAACCTGATTTGGGAGGAGCTGTTACCTTGTGGCAAACAGCTGGGCTATCTATTCAGGAAGAATTGCAAAATGAAGAGTGAAGTGCTAAAGACTGGATAAATAGTGCAGAATGCCCTGGGATATTTTTTAAAGGATTAATTGATTTACATAGATCTTTTGGGGAAGAGCCAAATGTGCTATTGAGTAGTTTTCAAAAAGCTGCTATTATGGAGCAAAGTAGGTCCTTTGTAAACTTTGATGTTTGCTCAAAAGCAAACTGAGTTTACACTGCAGATTAATTGGAAGTAGCCTGTGGGAGATGGTGGCTTAAGCAGTATGTACATGTAAAACCTGCAGGAATACTGCTGATTCAGAGCTGATCTAATTGTAACCTTATCTGAACAGCAACTCTCCGTGGCTGGCTATCTTCCCAATTGTACATGGAATTTCCTTGTCAAAATGCTATAGCCCTGTAAGCATGCATGACTGGTGTAGATATTCTCCTCGTGATCTAGAGAATTCACATGGCAAGATGCCCTAGATCATGAATGCACAGGTATCCCACTGCTCTCCCTGGGAGGGGTTGAGTGTGAGTCTTCCCCAGTTCTGCTCACCAGTATTACAACAGGAGTGCTCATCCATGTGAGCACCCTTGCTTAAATGCTTGTTACACAACTACCCTTGACAGTATAATCATACATGAAGAAGTGTTTACACACAGATTCTCAGTCCTTAAATGAGAAGATCCTGACATGATACAATTGATGTTGGGGACTACTCAATTGATTGAAGAGTTCGTGTGATGATGGGGAAATCATTTCATGATTTTGGAAACTTTCCGTGGGTCACTTTCTACATTAAAACATGCCAACTTGGAGAGAAGATGAAGCCTGAATATATTCCACTAAGCCACCTGGTGTGTTGCTATGTGGAAAATACTCAGCCAGCACCAAATTCCATCTCCAACAATGTGGTCAACTGTAAATCCTGCAGGTTACTGGTCTCTGCAGTCACAGTCAGGTGCTGTGATTCTCCAACAGTTTGACTTCATCCCCAGAGGCACAATCCATTGTCTCTCAAGACACATGCCAACAACAACAACAAGCAACAACAACACAGGTGACACGCTATATATGACAAACTTTATTGGGCTTGCCACCTTTCCCTTTGCAGCTTTAATAGCTGTAGCTTTCTGAATCACCATATTGGGAAAGACATATTTTCCAGAGCATTGTTTGGGACAACAGAACTTAAAGCCATCTCTGTTTTTTTGGCAGGGCCTGTGATTCCATTAAAGGTGGCCTCAGCCCCCAGTCATTGTTAGAATAACTAGGGATTCATCTACAAATCTGGGCATAATCCGCTTCCATTTTTTCTTTGTTCCTACTGAAGAACTTGGCATTGTTAAAAGGACAAACACACAACGCAAGCTTTTGAAATTAGAGTTGCCCTATCTAAAGGTTGCGTTTAAAGGACAACCTATTTACTCCTTGTATGTGTTCCTGCTCACAACTTCTATATGTAGAAAGAAATTTAATCTCTTGTGGGATCTGAGGCTCAAGTTTGTGCACAGATACCGGTACTTATTTCTTTTGTGCAACAAGGTAACTCAACATTATCGGTAACTAGATAATTTTAGCGAGATAATGGTGGGAGAGGGAAGCAAGCTCATAAAATTCAAAGGAAATGTGGAATTGACTAATAGTAGTCCTTGGAGACACGACTCCAAGGACTCCATTACCCGGATATTTGTTGGATGTCAAACTCAGCCAAGAGCATAAGGTCAAACAGATTCCTCACTGGCCTTGCAGAAAACTTCATTGTCCAGAAAGTGGGAGAAGCAACAAGAGGAACAGCCATTTTAGATCTGGTCCTAACCAATGTTGATGACCTGGTTAGTGGGGTAGAAGTGGAAGGATCATTAGGCGCGAGTGATCATGCTCTTCTGAAGTTTACTATACAGCGGAAAGGAGCAGCCAAGCATACTAAGACTCAATTTCTTGACTTTAAGAAAGCTGACTTCATAAAACTTAGGGAAGTGCTGGGTGAGATCCCATGGACAGTAATACTAAAAGGAAAGGGAGTTCATGATGGCTGGGAGTTTGTTAAGAGGGAGATACTAAAAGCACAACGTCAGGCAATACCAATGAGACAGAAACATGGAAGGTGCCTAAAGAAGCCAGGGTGGCTATCTAAAGAACTTTTAACTGAGTTAAGATTAAAAAGGATGTGTACAAAAAATGGAAAAGGGGGGAAACCACCAAAGAGGAATTCAAACAAATAGCCAGCACGTGTAGACACAAAGTCAGAAAAGCTAAAGCACAGAATGAACTCAGGCTTGCTAGAGAGGTTAAAAGCAACAAAAAGGCTTTTATGGGTATGTCCGTAGCAAAAGGAAGAACAAAGAAACAGTGGGGTCACTCAGAGGAGAAGATGGTGAAATGCAAACAGGGGACACAGAAAGAGCTGAACTCCTCAATGCCTTCTTTGCCTCAGTCTTCTCCGATAAAGAAAACAATGCCCGACCTGAAGAATTTGGAGCAAATGATTCAGCAAAGGAAACACAGCCCAGAATAACTAAGGAGATAGTACAAGAATACTTGGCTAGTTTAGATGTATTCAAGTCTCCAGGGCCAGATGAACTGCATCCAAGAGTATTAAAAGAACTGGCAGATGTGATCTCAGAACCACTGGCAGTCATCTTTGAGAATTCCTGGAGAACAGGCGAAGTCCCGGCAGACTGGAGGAGGGCAAATGTTGTCCCTATTTTCAAAAAGGGGAAAAGAGAGGACCCAAATAATTACCGCCCAGTCAGTCTGACATCAATACCAGGGAAGATTCTGGAGCAGATCATTAAGCAAACAGTCTGTGAGCACCTAGAAAGGAATGCTGTGATCACCAATAGTCAGCATGGATTTCTGAAAAATAAGTCATGTCAGACTAACCTGATCTCGTTTTTTGACAGAATTACAAGCCTGGTAGATGAAGGGAACGCAGTGGATGTAGCCTACCTTGATTTCAGCAAGGCATTTGACAAGGTGCCTCATGATGTTCTTGTAAAGAAGCTGGTAAAATGTGGTCTTGACTTTGCTACCACTCAGTGGATTTGTAACTGGCTGACTGACCGAACCCAAAGGGTGCTCATCAATGGTTCCTCTTCATCCTGGAGAAGAATGACTAGTGGGG